GCAGAGCCTCCATAGTTGACCACTTACCTATATTGACCACTTTAAGTGTTACCTACATTGACCTAATTTTCATAGACTGGACATGTATCACATATATAAGACCTAGTTCTTTATGTTGACCACCTCAGTATGTTGACCAGTTTGTCACAGTCCCTTGGGTGCACAACTTAGAGGGGTTCTACCATAATTCCCACTACGTTAATGTGGGGTTTGGACTGGGATGACAGATGAGGGCATGCAGGAGACAGTGATCTGAGGAAATTTGTGAGTAGATGATTAAGAATGTTTTAGTCACCATTCTGGGCAAGATCATTAAAGTTTATTCCTGGTGTCTAACTGAAGCTTTCTACTCTTTGACAACATCTCCTCTTTCCCCAACCACTCTTTTCCCCCAGCCTCTGAAAAACCATCATTCTAATTTCTACGTATTCAACTTCTTTAGATTTCACATATAAGTAAAATCATGCAACATTTATTTTTCTGTGCCTGGCTTATTACACTCAGTATAAGGTCCTCAGAATATATTTATCCACATTGCAAATTACAGGAATTTCCTCTTTCACTTAAAGGCTGAATAGTATTTCATTCTGAACATATACCACATTTTCTTTACCTGTTCATTTGATGATGGACACCTAGGTTGCTTCCATATCTTGGCTATTGTAAATAGTGCTGCAGAGTACATGAGAGTGCAGATATATCATCAGGATATCAATTTCAGTTCCTTTGGATATATACTCAGTAGTGGGATTGCTGGATCATATGGTAATTCTATTTTTAGTTTTGTGAGAAACCACCATACTGTTTTCCATAATGGCTATAGTAATTTATATTCCTACCAATTGCACACGGGAGTTCCTTTTCTCCACCCTCACCGATGCTTATCTCTCATCTTTTTTACAAAAGTCATTTTAAGAAGTGTGAGGTGATGGTATGCCTGATGGATGGTGACTATAATAAACAGTAATACATTATATATTTCAAAATTGCTAGAATAGATTTTAAATGTTTTCACCACAGAAAAGGTAAGTCTGTGAGGTAATGGCCTTGTTAATTAACCTGACGTAATCATTCAACATCATTAACATGTATCAAAACATCACATTTGTATACCATAAACACATATAGCCATGTGACATGGCATGTGTCTGTAATCCCAGCTACATGGGAGGCTGAGACTGAAGGATCACTTGAGGCCAGCAGTTCGAGGCTATAGTAATTGTTAATAGCCCCTATACTCCAGCATGGGCAACACAGCAAGATCCTATCTCTAAAAATTATTATTTGTCAATTTAAAAAAAATTTTTTTAAAAAAAGAATGCTTTAGTCACTGCTTATGAGCTCCTGCTAGGGAGAGTGAGAGGCAGACAGAGAGAGAATCAAACAGATTGAAAAAATGAGCAACAACCACCTTGGTTCTGGCAGCTTGCCAAGGAGCTTTTGCTATCTCTGATCTTGGTTAAAGCCATGTGAGATATGTTATAACAAAAGTGTTTCTCTTACAGCAATCTCTACACAAGGAAGATGTTTTTCTAACCAAGGGACACTTTGATTGGAAAAGCGCTATAGAATTAGTCCCAGGAGGTTATATTTTCTAGCATCTGACCCAGAGGCCCAGACTCAGAAAAGTAAACTGACTTACCTAAGGTCACACAGCTGGCAGTAGATTCTAGCTAACTAGAATCTCCTAAGATATCACTATCGTTGTGCTTACTGATATGTTTTTTAAAAGACAAGGTTCCTTATCTCTTAAACTACATATTTATCACTATAGCTTTCCTAAAATCATAACACTTAGGTACATAAGTGTGTAAACCTTGTTTAAAGATCAGTCATTAACTAAATAGAAGAGATAATGCCCACACATTGGATTCGAAAAGGAATTTCTATTTCTGATACGGCTTACTACAGGTCTAAAATGTAGGCAATTTTATCTATGTTTACAGTGTGCTCCTTGATATTTAATCATAAAGGTACAAAGACATAATTATCCCATACACAAATAATGATCATAAGAAGTATCATTACAGAAATATACAATTTACCCTGAAATTTCAGGTATTCTAAATTATAGAGACTGATTTTCAAAGAATGAGGAAACTGAATTCTACTACACCTAATATCAAACATCTGTACTGGTAATATATCTTTTATCTAATGTTCGTAAGAACTAAATGAGAAAAACCCATCGACTAAACCAAGGTTTTAAAAAAAATCACTTGCAGTATAACCAGCTACAAATAGTGCTTCCCATGGTGAAAAATAAAGTCCACACATAAGTATCCTAGCAAAAATTTCATCACATACACGCACGCCTAACAGATGGATTCTAAAAAACAGCTAAGCATTCCACAATTCAAATGCTCAAAAACTAATAAAAGATGATGAAGATTCCTGTACGTGTGATACTGTATAAATGAGAACAACAGCAATAATTTTGGGTAGAAGACCCCTCTCTGTTCTCACCTCTCAACTCAATCTCCTTTTCCCCTCTGCTCTACAACCAAATCACAACCACCCCAAACTGAGGTGTCTGCTGCAGCCCAAAACATTTGACTGATAATATCCGGTTTGCCATTCCAGGAAATCCCAGAGTGGTTTTTAAGCCTCTGCCCACAGCTTCTAAAGAAAGGCGAGAGAAGAGCTAATCGATACCAGCACCCCAGCTGTGACCTGGCACACAGAGAAATCAAGAAAATAAATGCTATCCATAATCTGTATAATTTAACACTTGGAAGAAAAGCAACATCTGGGATCAACTCCAAGCAGGACAGTGCTGCCTGGATGGGTTTGTGCATCCTGCACTGAGTGTGAAAGATGGTGGGAGGGCGATGCCCTCCGTTTCCTCGCCAGTTCAGCAAAGGCAATGTCTTTTTATCTAGCAAGGGTTAATCTACCCCCACAAAGAGAGGAAAGTGAGGAGAAAGAAAATAACAACCACCAACATCCATTCCTTGCCAGTAGGGCCCTTGGCAATGGCTCCCCTCTCACTCTTAAGAGAGGGAAAACTGGAAACCATTCCCAAAGGTGGGTCCCAGACAAACTATTGTCTTGCTACCCAGACACAATCCAGAATGGAAGCTAGTGTAAAAAATGGAATGACTTGTTTAATCGTACCATCCTCACTGTGGACTCCAAAGTCCTAAGCCCAGGCAAAGTTCAAAACAAAATGCCCTGTGGCTATGTCTCCCTGGAAAGGATGGATTTCTGGTGTTTTTAAATGGGAGGAAAATGCATTTAGAACATAGGCAGTTATCTACACCACATCTAAATCACTAGATCTGTCCTCAATTAAAAAAAAAAAGTACTTGAGTCGGCAGGACAGGGCATTAAAGGAAAGAAAGACTGTTAGTAAAATCCATAATGCTCTCTCTCTTAGACCTTCTGGGAGGTTATAATTGCATTTGGCCGCTGCAGGCTTGTCAGAAAGCCTGGCTTCTTAATAGTCTCAACCCTAAAAGGAGTAACTGTCAAGGGGCGACCCAGCTGAAATCAAACAACAAAAACGGGAACTGTAACCCGCCTGAAATGGGAGGAGGAAAAGGAAGGGAGACTCCTGTATACATCAGTCAACATTAATGTCCTTTGTTGTTCACCTTTGCACAGAACAGCGAGCGCTATCCTGTTCCTTTTTCTCCGAACGCTAGTGTCAGAGGAGTCCTTTCCTAAAAGCTGTCTCCCAGTCTCCAACACCCAAGCTTTCCGATTCACCTCCCCATTATCACTCCACAGCCGTCCCCTACCACCACCCCACTGTGCTCACCCGGGTCGAGAAGGTGGCCAGAAATAAAAACACTGCTAAAATACCCGTTCCCCTCAAAAGACCAAAGAGCGGAGCGGCGCAGATGTTAAAATTTAGCAATGCCCCCGCCCCCCAACACACACACCCCAATACACCCGGGATAGGAGGGAGGAAGGAGGCTCCCACCAGGCTCAGTCTGTCAGAGCCGCTCTCTGGAGGACCGTGCCACATTCGGCTCTCCGGGAATGTTGACCGGAGCCGGAGAGGAGGTTTTTACGCCTTCCTACGGTTTTGGGGGTGTTCTCTCTGCCCGATTGTTGCTGTCTCCCTCTCCACCCTGGGAAATCGGTGCAGCTCACTGCTGTCTCCCAGTCGCTTAGCGGAGAAGGGGAAGGAGCGAACGCAACCCCGTTCGCCTCCTCTCCCAACTTGACACACACACACCCCGTCGCCACTCCAAACTCCGCAGGCAAAGCCCGGAGCTGGCGGGCCGGCGCGCGCTCGCCTCAGCATTCCCCGCGCTCCGGGAGTCGGTGCTGGCAGCGCGGATCCCGCTGTGGGGGGCGAGACCCTGGTGCGCACTCCTCTGCCCGGGGCTGACTGGGCAAAGCCCGGACCCGCTGCGCGATGCCAGGATTAGGCATTTCCAGCCGGGTGGAGCGAGAGGGGCGCGGGACAAGGACGAGAAATGCGCACCCGCTCGGGCCAGAGCGGAATAAAAGTTCGCCCCGCGGAGACTCACCCACGCCGTATTTCTCGTGCTCCGTAGGTATCCACATGACGAAAGGGGGCTCTGGGGTCTTTAGACTTTGTAATCCCCGCGCCCCTTCTCCGGCTCACAACAATGCACAGCTCCCGAGTAGCGGCTGCAGCGCCGGAGCCCGGCGGCTTCGCGCGGACAGCGGGCGCTGGGTAGGGTCTGCGCTGGAGGCTCCAGAGCCCTGCGTTGACACCACGCCGGCGAGGCTGCGCCGCCCGCCGCTCTCCCGGCGGCGGCTGCTCACTGTCCTCCGACGCGCTCTCGGGGACCCGGCGGCGCAGTCATTGTTCTGATTCACTGAACTAAGCGAACACGCCGGGGCACTCTCGGGCTCACCCCCGCCCAGCAGCGCCAGGTCCAGCCCTCCCCTCCCAGGGCCCCAGCGGCTCGCTGGGAACTGTAGTTCTTGGCCTCGGTATCCCGAAAGGGGCGTGGTCTAGCAGTTAGGGGCGGGGATTAAGGGCCTTTCCCCACGTCCTATTGGTCCAGAACGTGACGGCGCGGCGTAGGCGTGGAAAAAACATAATGTCAATGGCGAGTTCGCCTCTAGAAGAGCTTGTATTGGCTCAGCCCCGTCCCCACCCCGCCCCGCGGCCCTCCCTTTTCTTCTCAGGCGAGTAATGGCTGCTCCCGAGACCCAGAGGGCTGCTGCCCGACTGGAGGAAGACGATAGTAGAGGCCGCAGCGAAGTCCGGGGTGTAGGTTATGAGGGTGAGTACAGTGCCCCTGAGGTGTAGTTGACTAGTCTTCCTTTCTCCAAGACCAGAAGTGCGACTGATCTCCGGTTAGACCCTGGCATCCCTTTAGCAATAAAAGGCCACCTGGGTTCCAGGGGACCACGGGCGGGGCCCAGCGGGATGGGGTGGAGCAGAGGGCGGCTACTTATCTGGGTCTGCCTAGGTAGGGCGGAGAAAATGGAACCGAATGGCTTTCCCAGCAGCCAGAGGAAGCTCCTTTGGCGTCTGTCTTCGGTTTTGGACCCCAAGCTTTGCGCTCGCTCTGAGTAGATGTGGGTCAGGTCAGGTTCGCGCGTTTGTGATTATAACTATGAGATATAATCACTGAGGCAGGGTATGAGATTATACCCTGCCTCAGTTTGCTCAGTTTGACCTCGGAGGTGTGTTTTCCTTGGCCTCGAGCGGATTTCCAGTCACAGACTGGTCACTGCTCTCCACTCTACGGATTTGCCCAGTTACTGGCTGAAGTGGCCTGTGAAGGGAAATCTGTGTGTAAAACATTTTAAAAAGTATGTTTGGCTGTCTGCACGTTCCCCAGAACTGAACATGAAGGGAAGCCTAAGAAATCTTCCTAGGACCTAGGTACTTCGAGAAAAAAGAAAGTGACCGATTGCACTCGTGGCTTCCGAGTACATTTGAAGGGACTTATGAAAATCATTACAGCTGCTTTGGCTGATCATGACTTTCACGTTGTCCTCTGATACACAGTAGGGTTCAAAAACCAAACTTTGCAAGCTTCAGGTGGATTGTCTTCAGGACTCTTTCCCTTTATCCTCAACCTTCCACTCCCTTGTTCTTGCCCTTCTGTCAGATTTTGCACAAGTTGTCTTTTTCTGATGGACATGTTTTGGGGTATGAATAGGGTCTTCGGTCCTTTTTGAGCTTTTTGTTTTGGGTTTCAGTGTTTTTATTTTCACAGTTCAACTGTTGATGTTTAGTCTTAATTTTTATCTCAGCTGCACAGAGATGAAGTACAAGTTCTTCCCACTTCCCATCAATGGAACTCGCTAGCTCTGAAATTATTTCAGTACCTCTACCAAAAATACACACACACTCTAAACAGTTTAGTTTGTGTTGGTCATATATTGGCCTCTCATCTGATGGTAACAGCAAGTTCAAAGGGCTACCGGTTTAAGATCTAAAGATGGAATCTTTGGTGAATTTTTCTAAGAGCTTAACGTTTCAAAAATGTAAAACATTAAAAAAATGAGTTATTTTTAAATTATAAAAGTTTTATTATAAACAATTGAAACCATTCAGAAATACGTAAAGTAAAAAAAATGTAAGTTTCTCTACCACAGAGTTCCAATCTCAGAGTAAATAAGTGGTAAGAGTTTAGTGTGTGTTCTTTCTTAGATCTTCCTGTATGACACACATCTATATGGTTTTGATTTTTTTTAATAAAAAGGGATGAATCTATGTAAACTAAAAGATTTCAGTCCTCTTTTTTTTTTCAGTGATCTATCGTAGACACTCTTCTATATCAGTACATTTGTTGTTTCTTTTTTTTTTTATGGACTGTGCCCATTATGTTCCATAATGAGAATGTGCCATACTTTAAACATTCCCCTATAAATGATAATAAAGTGTGGCTTTCATTTTTCAATAATGTTGCAGTGAATAGCTTTGTATCCCGGTATCTTTGCCCACCAGCTATGTATTTCTTCAGGAATTGCTGGGTCAAAGGATATGCAAGTTTAAAATTTTGATGGATACCAGATTTTCCTCTTAAAAGGTATTTGCCATATATTCCCAGCAGTAATATGAGTATCCTTTTCCTCATATCTTCACTAACTTTGAGGAAATCATTAATCCAGGATGAATGTTTAAATGATTGTTAGATTCAATTAAGTAACTGAGCTTAATTTTTATTCCAACTTTTTTTATATTAAGTACTGAGGAACAATGAATTAGCAAAATCTAAACATAAAAAAATTTCCTCACCCTTGCTCAGAACTACTCAATATTCTCATTATCTTATAGCAATCAATGGAAGAGCTTAATGGTTGATTGTTGTGTCATTCTCATAAGGTAAAATTGTCATTAAAAATACCTGTTAACAATCCATGTACCACACTTGGCTTTACTTGTATTCTTTTCATAGCCAGCAAAATGTGATAAAATTTTAAGTGGGAATAATTACATTAAGAGTATATTTATATCTTGTTAGGCACCCACTTAGGTTATCAAGTACAATATATCTTTCCCTGTAAAATCATATGTCGTTTTAATTTTTTGAAAACCACCTCTTTTAAGAGGTTTCCCTTTAGCTCTAATTAAAATGTCAGTCTTTGTGTTTAATATCCTGAGACAGCAGGAACTAGGGAGACTTATTATAAAAATCTTTGCAGTTTCTCAAAATTCTCCTAGAATATGTCACTGAGCAGTATACCAGCTGATGGATAGCACATTCCTGGAGACCACTGTGTTGCCACACTTCCTGTGGGCCCATCCTTCTTCAGTAAGGCCCCTGAAATGACCAACTCAAGTCTTATAGGACACTACCTACATTTGAATAGTAACTAGGATTTCAAATTCTCCTCTAAAATTAAGAACTAATAAATAGGTTGAGCATCTCTCACATTTGGGATGCATTATTGGTATTTGTTCTTTTGCTGTTTTTAGGAAGAAGTCAGTAAGATAACACATCTATAGTTTATTCATTGACAATACCTTTAGGAGGATTTTGTGACTGAGGTGGTTTCTTCTCACAATGTTAACCTTTACCTCATCTTGTAATATTCTGACAAAGTTCTGAAAACATTTTTTCCTCCAAAAGCATGTTCGGTAGATTATGGTCATAGTTATGTTTGGATTTATATTGTTTGTCTTCTAGAGACGTACTGTCTCATGTGTGAGGTCTCTGGAACAAATGGGGAAGGACAGCAGGTGATGTCAACTTCTCATTCTTGTGTTTTCTACTTCAATAAATGGCATCAAGTCTATCTTAGAATTCTAGGAAGCATCCTTGCCCTCAAGTACTGAATTTGATCAGTTACCAAGTACTTATTTTTCTTTACCTGAAATATTTTTTGAATCTGTTCTTCTATTCACCTCTACAGGAGCTATTCTGACACCATTTCTAACCCTTGCCATCACGGGTTCCAGCCCCCAGACTGAGCTCTTGAGGACCAAAGCCTCATCATATTTGGCCACCTGATGCTATCTTGGCTCATTGTCAATGTTCAATAAACATTGAATCCACACTCTAAAACAAATATATTCATGGGTCTTCACTTGAAATCTTGAGTATAACTCTACTGATGGGTAGTTAGAACCAAATATTCTATGTGGCATATAAGGTTCTAATCTACTTTTCCAGCTTCATCTTCAGTCACCCTGCTTGTATTCCCATATCTCACATTGTTTGCTTGCCGTATCACACTGTCCTTATTTATTGGCAACTTCATCTACCCCAGTGGACTGTGAACTTCTTGAAAGCAAGAGGTGCCTCGTTTTATAGACAGCCTTTGTTTATCAGAACTACATGCATTAAACATTCTATAACAGTTTAATGCTAGAATTAAATATATCTGTTTGAAATGTCTTCAAAACATTTAGAACAGCAGCTATTTTAAGCAGATGAAATTAAATAGACTAAAAAGTGAGTAGATGTTTTATGCTTGAGAGGTATGCGTACCAACTGAATGCTGAATATCATTAGGAAGACAATAATATTCTGTCTGAGTAGAACTGACATCACAAATGTCATGTTAGAATAGTTTTCCCCTTTTTTTTTTCAGTGAAGTTTTAATGTTTAGATAACTTTTAATGAATACTTTATATCTGGCCTTTATAACTTTGAACCCATAACTGAATGACCTACCTCATGGATCTTAAAATCCATCTTCCACTATCTATATGGCTGTTATCCAATTTTCTATAGGCTGTTATCGTATTTCTGTAGATGAGCATTAAGTACAGTCTCATATATTTGACATGACAGTGGAAAGAAGACTAGACTATTTTGGAAAAGCAATATTTGAATTTCATTTCTGACATTTAATAACTGTGTAACATAGGTATGTCACTGACAAAATTATGAAAAGATACATATAACACCTATCTTGTAGAGTTCTTGTGATTATTTCACTGAGTTATTTATTTAGGAAAGCCCAGCATATGTCCTATTATAAAGTTGGACCTCAATAAACATGAGTTGCTTTCATTATAAAAATATATGTATCTGAATTATAAAACTGGCAGCTCTCTGATACTGCATTCACTTAGGAAGCAATCTAAATTGTGCTGTAACTCAGGAGCAGCTTAGGAATGTGTTGGTAATAACTGCTTGCCGTCAGCACTCTCCTGGAATTTGGGGTTGTCAGAGTGCTTGTCAGTGCTTCATACTAGGATTGCAACTATGTGTTCTGAAAGCCCTTTATATTACCTGTATGATCTTTTATATCCTTTTTCACCTTATACACTGCTGCTTCCCTCATATCTAGCTTCCTACCCCACCCCCACCAACATTCAGAGTCCTCCAGGAACTCTGGTAACTTCGCACACTTGGATGATGGCCTTGTAAGGCCGGAGTATGTCATGGAAGATACAGAATTATAGAAATTTAGTCTTAACAGGTCTTGTTTGGCGTAAGTTACTGAAGATCCTTTTGTTTTTCAGAACATCCTTTTGTTTTCCTGTGAAATAGATAGACCCAGCTTATAGGAAGATAAGGGAAGAGCTGTTATAAAAATGGATATTACAATAGTGATGTTGTTAGCTAGTATCTGTTGAGCACGAACTGTGCCAGGTGCTGTTTCAAATGCTTTTAAATGTCTTGTCTCATTTCATTTTCATACCACCTTTGAGGTAGATACTCATATTATCTCCTTTTCATTTATAAATCAAGAAACATATGCAAAGAATAGCTTGCACAAGCTCACACAGTAACTGAAAGAGGACTTTTATTCTATGCATAATTATAATAATGTCTCATAGTAACAGTTCCACTGGATGAGGTCTGAAATGGTC